GAGGAGCCATCCCTCTTGACAGCCTGGAATCCAGGAGGGAAGTGTGATTGAGTCAGATCCTGTCCTGGAATGGAACCAGATCCTCTTGCCACCTCTCAACAGGCATTTCTGCCTTTGTATATTTATAAGTCTCTTTAAATAGAAAATAGCAAATAGAAGCATAGACCTGATTTAGGTCAATGAAATCAGCATTTGCGAGAGAAAAAGATACCCCAAGAACAAAGCTGCTACTTTTTCTGATTCCATATTTAGGATTTGTTAGCATTGAAGTCCTCCAGGATACACACCCCAGCCCTGACGTAGTACTTACTGGTCTCTCCTACCCTGGAAATCTTCCTTCCCCCTGAGCTTCCTCCTAGGCAGATGGCTTTCCCAGGCCACCAGCTAATGCTCATTTATTATTAAGCATTTGCATTTTACAAAGTACTTCTGAGGCTATAGGTCAATCTGCTCAAAGAACCCATGCACCTCCTGGTGAATGGAGTGGAGTGGAGGGAGAAGGGAGGGAGGAAAAGTTACAGCTGTAAGTCAGAACAGGTTGCTCATCATGTGTGCAGTGTTTGATGGTGGGCAGTGATGGAGGAAGCAGTGTGGCCAGTGTGTGTCTCTCTCAAATACCTGCAGAGACCTGGTAGAAATTCTGTGTTAGGTGAGAAAAACCAACCCAGTGTGCCTCTACCTTTCCAAAGCAGAGCAAGGTCCCAGGCCGGCTCGTGGAGCCAGGTGCCTCAGCTGCTCACACACTATCCTGTGAGCTCACAGGGCTGCATGGGAGAAAACACCATGGCCTCTTGGCTCTTCTCTGAGAAGCGAATTCTTCCATTTTGCAGAAAGTTTTCTAGCGTTCAAGCCCCAAGGTGAAAATGTCAGCCCTGAAAGAAGTCTGACTCTGTTGTCTCTGGAGGGAGAACAACAGCCCTGGAATTCTGCTCAAAGGCCTGTACAAGTCAGAGGGGAAAGGCTGTGGCTGAGGTGGTGAAGCTAAGGCTTGGGTTTAGGAGGAATTACGGAAGATTAGAGACTCTGACCAATTCCAAGGGACACCCACAGAGACGCAATGTGAGGTGAAATTTATAAACCAAAAAAGTTATTTCAAAACAGGTGCCTTCAAACCGAGCGTGGTGGCACATGCTATAATCCCAGCACTCGGGAAGCTGAGGCAGGAGGATCACTATGAGTTCGAGACCAGCCTGGGCTACGTAGTGAGCTCCAAGTTAGTTTCAACTACACAGTGAGACCCTGCCTCAAAACAAAAACAAAAACAAAAAACAAAATAGGTGCCTTCTTCAGGTGACAGAGACAATGTAAGGGGTTGAATGCTTTGTCTTTCTTAATGTGAATTAAATGCCCTACCCCCAGGCCCAGGCCCAGGCTGGAGAGATGGTAAGAGGTGATATCCAGCCACACAGGGTGGGTCCTGGGGCTGGCTCACTGCGGATTTCTTCCAGTAACAACTGGCCCTCAGAAATCTCTCTCCCAAGTTAAAGGTGACCTTCTGCTCAAGCACTCCAGACCAGCCGCCACCTAGCACCGTCAGCCCCACTTCTGCAGAGTTTCCCAGGATAAGCCCAGCCCTTTCCGAGGAAAGAATCTCAACACACATGGAAATCTTCATGCACAGAACTTCATGTGGAGTGAGGGGAAGGGTAGCAGTGACAAAGGCTTGGCTCTACAGACTACTTGGCTCCTATTCCCTGTCCTCTGCCCACCCACTGACATGAGTGCTCCCGCCCTCTGATGCTGTCAGAACTCCGTAAGAGGGTCGGAGATTTAGCTCAGTGATTCCGGTGCCTGCTTTGCAAGTACGAGGACCCAAGTTCAATCCCTGGTACCAGAAACAAACAAATAAACAAACAAAACTCCATGAGCACAGGAAGCAGGAAAACCCTGTATCACTCTTGGGGGGGGGGCTCTTAGCATAATAATGGGGTACAGCCATTCAACAGAATATTATGGTGATTTAAAAGTGCAGAAGGGGCTGGTCGGTGTAGTCAGTGGCACAGCACTTGCCTAGCATGCACAAAGCCCTGGGTTCCATCCCAGAACCACCAAATAAATATTTTAAAAATTAAAAAAAAAACAGAAGGAAAAAAGACCCATATTCATAAAATTGTGGAAGGTCTTACAAAAAATCCAGAAAGATGCTCAAGACAGTTATGTGAAAAAGGTTGCCCGAGCTAGATCCCTGGTACCAAGACAAACAAACAAACAAAAAACCCAAATACTTAAAACTATCATAGGCAAGAGGAACCTAAGACACATGATGATTAAACGTAATGCTACATAAATGGGATCTTGGGACAGAAAAAGGAAATCAAAGTTTAGGATAGAGATGTAACTCAGTGGCCGAGCAAATGCCTAACATACGAGAGATCCTGAGTTCTACCCTCAGCACCACCAAAAAAATTAAATATGGACTTTAGTTAAATAAAATGTATTTATACTGGTTCACTAACATGACACTTTAATAATAAAAAGAAACAGTGTGAGGTATGTAACTCTTTTGTAATATCTTTGCAATACTTTGTAACTATAAAACTATTCTAAAATTAAATTTATATACTGGGTTAATAAATATAACGAACCACTAGATGTGGTGGCACACATATTCCCAGCTATTCAGGAGGCTGAGGCAGGGAAATTCACAAGTTTGAGACAAGTTTGGGCAACTTAATAAGACCCTGGGTCAAAATAAAAAGGTTTTTGGGCATGGTGGCACACACCAGGCATGGTAATCCCAGCACTTGAGAGGCTGAGGCAAGAGGATCACCATGAATTCAAAGCTAGCCTAGACTATATAGTGAGTTTAAGGCCAGCCTGAACTACACAGTGAGACCATGACTCAAAACCAAAACAAAAACAACAACAAAAAAAGGAGCTGGAAATATAGCTCAGTGTGAAGGCTCTAAATTCAATCTCCAGTACTCCAAGATACACACACACACACACACACACACACACACACACACAATGTCTCTAACACAAAACTTCTTACTAATAGCAGATCTATCATGGGTTCCTTGAAATAATAAAGGGTCCTTAGCACAATTAACATATTTCAGTCCTTAAAAAATAACTGAATACAATTCTTCAGGGATGGATATATCTATAGGTGTACCATACTGAACCAGTGTAGTTTTTACAGGTTAAAAAAAAGAGAGAGACAAATTGGGTTACAGTCTGATTTATCAGAAGAGTATTGGCGCTTAACTGGCTCAAATCTATGCAAATGGAAGAAGACAAAAAGATGGATGGAGTTGCAATGGCAGCTCTCCCACTTGTCACTGATCTAGGGCTCTTCATAGGAGAGGGTTGGGGATTCTCGGCGGACTCTGCACAGCTTTGTTTCTAACTCCACTCTCCTCCCCGCAGCTCCTATCAATCCAGATGCAGGACCATTTGAGAGGCAGACCTATTCAGACCCTATCTCTCTGCAGATAGCAATCCCGGACCTGGGTAATATGAAACAAGGGTCTTCAGGACTCTCTCCCCCGTGACAATACAGTGGCAGGGCAATGGGAACGTTCTGAAAAATAGGGCAGAAAAGCGTGAGAAAGGCCAGAAATTACAGAAGCCAAACCCAAGGATGGGGTAAAATTCTCTCCCAGACCAATCTTAGCAAAATCCAATTGTTGAGTGAGGGTTTATCCACAGCATGCCTCCCATCCAAGAAAGGGGGAGGATGGAGCAGCGATGGAGCTGCAGTGAGAGCCTCTTGTGCTGCTGCCATTTCTCTGGGTGACAACAGCATGGTGATCATTGGTCCTTCTGTGTTCAACAGCTGTGAACGTATTCTCTGAAGAGTCAATCCTGGAGTTGTCTCTAGGCAGAACTACCAAATGGCTAGCTGATACATGGTTCTATATCTGTTAAACTCCATGGTGAATTCTTTATAAGGCTTCATATGTACATGAGGGCTTTTTTTTTTATAAGCAGGGGGTAGATTTGGGGATTGAGGGTAGAAGGGCTAAAAACAAAATAGAAAGATTTGTTTGTTTTTGTCGTATACTACCCAGGACTGAATGCAGAGCCTGCACACTGAGCTACATCCCCAGCACTTTTTATATTTTTATTTTGAGACAGGGTCTCGCTAAATCACTGAGTTGCCCAGGCTGGACTCTAACTCTTGATCATCCTGCCTCAGCCTGCCAGTGTGCTGGAATTACAGGCCTGCACCACCATGCCTAAAATGGAAGATTTGAGGACATGATAACTATAGTTAATATGTAATAACATACTGAGGTGGGGGATCTGTTTTTTATCTAATGTTGAGAATTGAACCCAAGGCCTCCTGCACACTAGGAAAGTGCTCCGCCACTATGCTGCCTCTACAGCCTAGCATACTGTATTTCTGAAGAATGCCAAGACAGTGAATCCTTAATGTACTCAACACAAAAATGATTGACTATGAGAGGTAATGCATTTGTTAATTACTGCATTTAGTTATTCCATAATATATATATGTATTCCAAAATATCACGTTATTCCCAATAAGTACATACAATGTATCGACCAATTAAAAGAATATAGAAGCCAGGCGTGGTGGTGCACATTTGTAATCCCAGCACTCAGGAGGCTGAGGCAGGAGGATCGCTGTGAGTTCGAGACCAGCCTGGGCTACATAGCGAGTTCCAGGTCAGTCTCAACTACATAGTGAGTCCCTGTCTCAAAAACAAACAAACAAACAAAAAAGAAAATAGAAAATCTGGCTCCCTAACTTCAAGAAATTTATCATTGAATGGGAATACTAGATTAATAAACATATTAGCCTTTTACAAAAGTAGCAACAGATATAAGTTAATACCACACAAACTAGTAAGTAAACAGTGACATGTAACAATGGAATGATTAGAACAGAGTTGAATATGAAGGCTGCTTGACATGCTTTGTTTTTTTTTTTTTTTGGTACCAGGGATTGAACTCAGGCCCTTGCGCTTGTGAGGCAGGCGGCAGAACCACTGAGCCAAATCCCCTGCCCAACACCGTATTTTTATACATACCTGCCAAGGCCTTCTTTGTAGGGACCATGCTAGCCCAGGGATTCAAGGCCAATGAACCTCTGGATCTAGAAATTAGACCGAGGTTCTTATCTCATCCCGGTTCTGTCACTCATCCATGCTCTCATGTTTAGTGAGCAAGTGGGGAACCACTTTGTTTTAGTTCCATGTCAACCTTCCCCAGGATGTTACAGGAACTAACAAGAAACAAACACAATGTTATATGTCTATCACAATTAGATACATTTAAATATATATATGCATACATACACACATACATATATAAATAAAATGTGTGCCTTGCAGTCATGTGGGGGACCTGCTAAGGTCACTTCAAACCAGTTCTGCTTGTTAGTTTTCGAAAAAAGAGATTTCAAAGACGAATCTAACACAACAATGGCCTTTGCTACATGGTCTCTGCTCATTCGCCTGCAGTGCATCACTGTCGTTCTATTACAGACCCATTGCTGGGCACAAAGAGGAGCACAGGCCACACTGGCAGGGTATCAGCTCTGCGGCGTCTCAGCTGACTTCCCTTTATCTCAACAGACATTTCTGTATAAGTACCGCTCGCTAACTGATTGCGCCTCTGGAGCTCCATCAACAGACATTTCTAACATTAAGGCACAGAGCCCCTTTCTTTACCTTCTCACTGCCAGTGACTTCAAACTGCAACTGGACAATCCTTTTAATTGCCCCCTTTTCTCCACGAAACCCATAATCACTCCCAGTGCCTTCCAGCAGCTTTTAGGTAGCTGTGGATTTCAAAGACACTAGAGGCCTTGGCAGACTTCTCTAGTTCTCTTCAATCTGCACTCTTGCCTTTCCTGACCTCTTTTCTCTCCCTTCTTTGTCTAATTTTCTCCAGCTTTATTTCCTTCCTTTTTCTGACCATTTTTTTCCCCTTAAATTTCTATTCACTGCATTCTCTATAAAAATTAAGACTTCTAAATCGGGTGTGGTGGTGCACACCTGTAATACCAGCACTTGGGAAGCCGAGGCAGGAGGATCGCTGTGAGTTCAAGACAAGCCTGGGCTACATAGTGAGTCCAAGGCCAGTCTCAACTACATAGTGAGACCCTGTCTCAAAAAACAAAACAAATAAATAAAAATAAAATCAAGACTTCTAGTCTATGAGGTCAGAAGATCCATTATTAAGGGGGTGAGGGTGGACTGGGGAACCATCCCCCCAGCTTATGGCTAAGGAGGCCCATGGGGAAGGGAAAGAGGTGTGTGGGCTGTCACACACCCTCCTTCGCAGGGGGCATTGGGGACATCGCTTCACCATCTCATCTTTGGCCCTGTGTGGCCCTACACTCCCTACACTTCCTCAGCAGTGGGGAGAGGGGCATTAGGCGCTCACTGCCCCTCAGCTTCTGGCTGGATACCACTTGATAGTAGAAGGCAGTTTTGGTTGTCACTTTGTCAAAGTATGCAGGGGTACAGATAAACAGGACGCATTAATGATCCTTGATTACTGGCCCCAGGCCTAGCCGAAAAGGAAGGGACCTGACTCAGCATGTGGGTTTGGGAGTGCAGACCTGTGCTCCACTCTTGGACTTGCTACTTAGGAGGGAGTTGCACAAATTCCTGCATTCACTGAGCTTGAGTTTTTTTATTAACTGAAAACTGGGCTGAATGGAACTGAGAGAAACGTCAAGCGGAGCTGCACAGCCAAACACAATACCTTCCACATTAAGGATCACAATGTAACAGTGGAAATCAACTTAGCGGCTGCAAATTGTGTGTTGCTGCTATTGTTGTTGTTGCGATGCTGGGAGTGGAACTCACAGACTTGAGCTAGGAAAGACCTATTAAAACACATGAATCTGGCCGGGGCATGGTGGCGCACACCTGTAATCCTAGCACTCAGAAGCCTGAGGCAGGAGGATCACAGAAGCCTGAGGCAGGAGGATCACTGTGAGTTCAAGACCAGCCTGAAGTATCAATAGTTTTTACACTTTAGCTAAATTCAAGTCTAGAGGTCAGACCTCCTTTTTTTTTTCTGTGTGTATGGTACCGAGGGTTGAACCAGGGGGCACTGAGGTACATTCACAGCTCTTTTTTATTTTATTTTGAGATAGTTTCACTCAGTTGCCCAGACTGGCCTCCGACTTGTGACCCTGCTGCCTCCATCTCCGTAGGATTACAAGATGAGCCACTGTGCCAGGCTGGGTTTTTCTCTTCTTGGTATGTAAGTCAGTTCAAAGGCCCTGAGTTTAAGCCCAATACAAACAAATAAATAAATAAAGTATATATGACTTTTATGCTTTCAAAAGGAATGAAATACAGGGAGAGGAGGGAGCTTGAAGGGGAAAATGGGATGAAATAAAATTTATTTTTTATTTTATTTTTATTTAATTTATTTTTAAAAAAACAGAAAAGCGATCAGCAGTGTTGAAAGCTGCTGAGATGGATAGGATGGAGACTCTTAATAGGTCAGTGGATTAGGGAATTGGGGTCTATCAAGCTCCATTTACCTTAAATGATTTGCCTTTGGTAAGAAAGGGCTTTTCCGTGTGGCAAATAGTAGGAGGGAAATATCAGGTTTAGCTATCGGGAGTGCAGGTGGCAGTAGGGGAGAGCGAAAAATTGAAGCTGACTCTGGTATCTGCCATGCAACGAGCAACAAGTTCCCTAAAGATGTTAATTCACTGCTTCACACAGCAAGGAGGAGTTAGCTGTGAGCCTGGGGTTCATTTTACAGGCCAGTCATCTGAGACACAGACAGGAAAAAGCCTTTGTACAAGAGCCACAGGAGATTTGACACCTGATCCCACAGAAGTCACAGCTCCCGGGAAACACAAACCTTGAGGACGGATGAGGCAACTGGAGGGAAGAGGGTAGTGAGTAGAAGTCCTGGCCAGACGGTGGAGGAAGCAGGATTGAAGCCCGTCAACAAAACCACAGGGTGTGGTCACGAACTAGGTGGTGACAGGTGTAAAGGTGCAAGGCTGAGGCCGTAAACCAGGCAGGCCTGAGTCAGGTGAGTCACTGCACACACCCTGCAATCCACCAACATCTCACTGCTGCGAAACATCAGCCGGGACTACAAACCCCAAATCTGTTGCCTCTGTTGAATCACTGCCTCTTGTCTAGCCAGGAGTTTCCACTGAGGAACCTGTTTAACCAAAAGGGAGGGTGGTCACAGACATCACTCCTCCCAAAATAATTGCAAGAATTAATCTCTGCACACTCACGCCATGGAACTCAACCAGGACCTTGTGCACACAAGGCAAGCGCTTTACCCCTATTCTGCCGCCCAGCCCCACCTTCTGGATTTTAACTTCTCTTGCTTTATGTACGTTCTTCTTCACCTCTCTTCCTTGGTCTCCACCACTTCCTCTTTTCCCCTACTTGTTTCAACTTTCTCTTCCTCTACATCCCTTTCTTATCTTGTCCCTTGGCCCAGTTCACCTTCCACGTCCTGATCTTTTAGGGTGCAGCACTGGAGTTTACACCCAAGGCAGGCCCCCCAGTGTAACCGGGAGGCATTAAGCACAGCTGCCAGGTGTAGAGATGCTCATCACAACAGCTGCAGCAAGTCGGAGCACCTGACACCAAGAAGGCAAGAGAGTGCGCTGGGGATGTGCTTGGGACACAGGAAGCTCTGTTGACAGGTGGCCCACACAAGGTCAGCCAACTGGGTCCAGGCCCTAGGAGGATGTGACAGAGAAGACTCTCAGAAACAAGCTAATCTTCTTAGAGCGGATTTCCTCTTCCTTGCTAGGAAACCCAATCCAAACCGTAATGTCTGAGTAACCCTGAAGCCTGACAAGATGTTCAGACTTAGTCTGCCCCATCCTTTGGAACCAGCCTTAGGGGAGACCTACAGCCCATGTGGGGACAAGATCTGTGGGAAAGGCAAGGGAAGCCCCACTCTACGGCTTAGCAATGAATACTCTGGCCCACAGTCTGCCAGTCCCTCCTGTGGCCTGAGCTCCTACAGGAGGGACAGTGACACCCACACTGAGTAATGGGGGAGACAAAAGCAGACGACTACACCTCTGCTCCTGACAGAACAGGGTGGTCCCCAGATTCAGCTGCCAATCAGGATCATCGAAGGGCACTAGGTAAAAGGAATGATTCCTGGACCTCACCCAAATCTGCCCAATTAGAATTTCTCAAGACATCTACAATTCACAAGTGCCCTAAGTGGCTTCTTAGCAGTCAACTGGGCACCACTAACTTTTGGGACCCAGGGGGGTCAGGTCACCATACAACCCTCAGCTTCTAGTTCTCTGACAGCTATTTCTCTAAGCCTTTGTAGAAGACAAGGTAAGAAGGGAGAGGCTGCGGGGCTGTTGTCCCACTTAGTGTGGGAAATAATAGTAGCCTCATCTCAGTTACACTTCACAACGATCTCACAAATATCAGTAGTATTATCCCCATTTTTATGGATGAAGAAAGCTAAGCTTCTGAGCTTAAGTAATGTGTCAAGCAATATTCAGCCAAGTAAGAAGTGGAGCCAGGATTCAAACTCAGTTTTATCTAGGGCTGAGTTCAAAGTGCACGTGCAACCTGGGGACTGAGAACGGAGATGGATGTCAACCCTGTTAGTAGAGCAGAGTCCTGGAGCCCCAGCAATGGTCGGCATGGCTCCTTCAGCTGCTGGACTGTGGGGCTGTGGGAAGCCTTGAAGGGAGCAGGGTAGGGGTACCCAGGGTATCCAGGGCAGCACCCTTACCTCCCATCAATGGTGCAGCACAAGCAGAAGGACCAGATGGGCATGCACCTGCCGAATGTCTGCACTCCAAAGCCCATGCTCCTCCACAGTATCACCATGCCTGGCTCAGCCTGCCTGCCCGCCCCACCTGCCGCTGGAGCCTTTTGACAGGCAGAACTTGACTCACCCAGGAAGGCATGGTAGGAACCAGCCAAAAGTACAACTCAGGCTGTCAGAATCCTAGATTTGCCTCCTCCTATGAGCCTTGCCATCTAAACCTGCTCTCAGAGCCTTTGTGTAGCTTGACAGGTAAAAGACAATGTTCTCCTAAAACCCTGTGTGTCTGCTAGAGATCAAAGCCATACGAGTTAGGAGTTGCAAAGTCCTTA